ATACACCAAAAAATGTACAATCCAAGTGTTTAACACATGATCCGGTGTCCATTTCATCCACGCCATAGACATTCAGATGTGACTGTTCTCTTTGATCTTTCTCTGGATGTCCACTGACTCCACATCAATCTACACCTGGACAATGATAGGATATTTTTTTGCGATGTTGGTTGGTGATGTTGATTGTAATGTGCATTGTTTGCCTGTTTTTTGATATCTGCACACATTCTACTTTAATTATCTTCCCCTAGAGAATTATCATATCAACTTCGAATTTGGTTAGTGCAAACAAACAACTGCAATGATGAAAAGTTCCTTCAACAGCATGCCCATGGATATTTCACCATGAAACAAGAATTTCCACTAATTTGACTATACATTGTCCAATAGACACAAGACTTAACATGTTTGATGACCGGGCATGACCACATTTACATGATAAAATTCAATATAATCATAGCAACAACTACTAGCAACAGGATGCACATGTCAACAAGATGTAACATTCAACTCCTTCATGCACTGTGCAAAGGCATAATGCAATACCAAGCCATGTGAACCAACCTCCAACAACCGCAGCGCATCTCCATGTGCACATTTCTAATGATTTTCTTTACAATATTGAATACCATTTTTTTAAAACGATGACAAAAAAATATGGCAATATAAAAACAAATCATGTCTATAGAGCAGTCTGTAAATCTATATCGTGACGCTGTTTTCAATGCGGCTAGGCAGGAGGAAAAGGTACTGCAGCTCCAGTCCTTCATTCTGACTCAGGATATCAGCTTCGATCTTCTCCAACTCTCTTCTGAACCCATTGATCAGCTCCACAGCTTGTGCTTCAGTGAAGTGCTCCTGTGTGTAGTGGCCCAAAGGAATCTAGGCAGAAGAAATAAGGGCACTGCTGAAGACAGAGGGAATATTGTGGTTGGAAATCAATTACTGTCAGGTTAAAGGTAAAGTGTGTAGAATTTTGTGTTATCTATTGTTGAAGTTGCATGTTGTAGATGATCACCCCTCACCTCACCCTCTCCTTGCAAACATGAAAAAGAACCTGTGGTAGCCTTTAATTGTCATAAAAACTCAAAAGGTGTTTAGTTTGTCCAGTCTGGACTACTGTAAAAAACATGGTGGCCTCCGTAAAGAGGATCCCCTTGATGTAAATGAGGAATAGTAGTTAGTTACTGTTAACCCTAACCCTTTTTTGGCTAGATTCTGAGTAAAAACTAAAATTTTGAATATACATCATTGAGCACCACATATTATTTATTCACCTCATCCCTAATGCTGTGGAGGCAGAAATCTAAAAACTTGGACAAAGGAAACTAACCGTGTGTCTGGATGAACATTACCAGAAGAAAAGTGAGAATTATTTCTGTGAATCAACATATAAACTGTCAGCTTGTTGAAATTAGAAATTAATTTATTAGTGTATAGTCCATCACCATCCAAACCATACAGAGTTGGACTCACAGCATCTGGTTGTGCTCGCCCCAGATGCCATGTGATAGCCATCTGCAAACAGGACTGGCTAACATCAGGAAGGGAGGCCATGATCCTCTCCATGGTAACAGCATCCTTGTCTGTTGGTGGGGGATGTCTCATGGTGCAGGGTGTATTGGGGACCCAGGCACACCAGTCAAACTTAAAGAAATGGCAGACGAATGCTTAATATTCAAGATGACACATTGAAGTTCATTCAAACTTTTTTCAATGTCAAAGGAATAGACTGAGCTTGATATTGTGTTTTAGACCATCAACAGCATTGCATGTCATCCTCCAACCAGAAGGTCGACAGTTCAATCCCAGTTTTCCCAATCCGCATGCCCAAGTATCCTTGGGCAAGATACTGAGCCCCGAATTGCCCCTCATAGAAAAAGTGCTTCCCATAGACACGCTGTATAATTGGCTGAATGGCAATAAACTGTACTGTCAAATGCTTTGAATGGTCAAATACAGACTATTATCATAATGTGTAAGTGTGGGAGTGCCAGCACCTGCCCGTTGTTAGTAGCAGCATGCTGGACTGTACTGGTGAAGATGGCCACTGCCAGCAGGGTGCACAGTTCCTCTCTGGTGCTGAGCTTATTGGGCAGACCTGAAACATATCCATGATCAAGAGCATTTCAAGCAACCAATTGCCTGTTGCAAAACCCTCTGTCCATCATATACAAATAGATAGTTTCCACTGTATTCCTACCACGCACAGTTGCAGTTACATTAAACGCCTTGCTACTGGCTCACAAGGTGGTTAGCTAAGTTAAAAAGGCTGAGAATAAAAGGGTCCTCCCCAGTTCCAACTGTCCTCAAAACTGTCATTCTTTGATTTTCAGTTTTTGTACAGAGGAACAAATTTTAATTTTGAGACTTGGACAATAGTAGGAACGTATTATCCTAGGCTAAGTTTTAAATGGATGTGAAATAATAATCTAGTATTTCCCCCAATGCTGAACTTCTCAAAGTTAAAGGCTTTGTTAAGGAGGAAAAAAATAAGATATGAATGATTCACCAAAGCTGGGGAGCTCTGCCATCCCCTTCTGTGTTATGTCGCTGATCCATGCTTGGAGCTCCACATCCTCCTGCACATCATGGTCTGACTGGTAGTACAGACTCAGCATACCAGATACAAAACTGAAAGATGGTTACATTTAGTTATTATTCACAGTAAGTCATATCTGACCTGAAGTGTCATCCTCAAATCACATAAATCATGAATTAATTCATAAATCCATATTAAGTGAGCTCCAATTTTCACTTTTTGCCACGTCCATGCATTGTACTTAAATTAACTCCTCCTAGATGGTAGATGTTTAGTTTTTATAACTGATCACACTTTTGTTGTTGTGTTTTCCTTCAACAGCATGCCTGTGGCCATATCGCCATGAAAGAGCAATTTCCACACATTTGACTATACATTGTCCAATCTGCACAAGACTTAGCATGTGTGATGACCTGGCATGACTACATTTACCTGCCAAAATGCAACATAATTATAGCACCACATAGGGATGCTTGGTTATGACAATCATAATCATGATTATTTTTGGTCAGTATTGTCATCACGATTATATAACATGATCACTTATTGACTTTGGAAACATTACACAGTTACTGAACTTTAAAGAAAAATAAATAAGTTTTGGTTCCAGTGTTAACAGATTAGAGTATCTATGCTGCCTATGTGAGCATGGAGAAATTATTATTATTATTATGTTGTTGTTATATTATTATTATTATTATCTAATATTGTCTCCTCTCAAATCTGGGGAAATGTTGTAAAATACAATCAAGGAGCTGAATCTTCAGTGTGTCATTATTCACAATTCTGCAATATAATAGCTACAGTACTATACGAGCGCTGGAATTCATGCTCTATAATGTCCAGTGGCAAGAAAATGTTTAAAATTACCAGCATTTATAATTGTATATGTATAATGTCAAAAAAGAAACAAAAAACATTGTCTAAGTTCCGAAAATTAACACATGGTAGGACACCAAGGAGAAAGGAGAAAGATATTCTAGTCTTGATGACAACTCAATGTGCATTCATACAGTGCATCTAGGTGCAGTGCAGGGCAATTCAATTTTATTTGTATAGTTATAAATCATAATATACATTATCTCAAGGCACTTTACATAGAAGTAAAAAAATCTTGATATAGAGAAACCCAACAGTTCCCACAATGAGCAGCATTTTGGCGATTGTGGAGAGGAAAAACTCCCTCGTTAACAGGGAGAAACCTCTAGCAGAACCAGGCTCAATGTGGGCGGTCATCTGCCTCGACTGGTTGGGGTGAGCAAAGAAAAATGGGGAGGAGAGGGGAGAGAAAGGCGCAAGACATCAGGAATACTTGAGCACCATCAGGTATCAGCTCTGACTAGTTATAATGAAAACAATAAAATTGTATTGTATAATGCTACAGTGTATGGTTTCTGGACAAGACAATGTATCTGTGCTATTCATGGGGAGGAGGTGGTGGATTTTTTCCCTTGGCACTGCTTACAAACATGAAAACATAACCCCAACAGTGAGTTAGCGTGGGAGAAGCATCATGATTTGGGACCGCTTTGCTGACTCAGGGCCTGGACAGGTCACTATCATTGTGCTATATCTTATCATCACCTTAAAATGAATTCCAAAGTTTATCAAGTCATCCTACCTGATAATGTCAGGATGGCTGTCAGGCCAGCTGAAGTTCAATATAAGTTGGGTGATGTAGCAGGACAATGACCCTTAACTTCTAAATAAAGCCACAACAGAATGACTTGGGAAATTTTTAATCCATCATTTGGAGTGGACTAGTCAGAGCCCAGAGCTTAACCCAAAAGAGATTCTGTTGAAAGCTGTTCACACCAGACATCATAAAAATATTCCTGAACTGAGGCAGTTCTGTAAGGAAGAATGGTCAAAAGTTCCTCCTGAAGGTCTGATCCACAGCTACCAGAAGCACTTGCTTGAGGTTATTTAAGCCAAAGGAGGTTTGACCATGTATTAAATCCAGGGTTTACTCACTTTTTGCACCAGCACTGTGAATGTTTGATGAAGACATGAACATGTTTTTTGTATTGTTTGTGTGTTATTAGCTTATTGTGTTTGTGTCTTGACTCTGTCTTGACAGTTACGTTTGATTGCTGAGTTTACTTTGTCTTTTTGAGAATCAGGCAGACCCAACAACAGTGTCCTGTCAGCGGCTAAGACAAGCATGGTGAGTAGTATGAACAGTGTGTGCTGTCCACCTGTGTATGGCCTCCCACAACATCAGACTGTGCTCTCTGTAGTGATAGTTTCGGAGCTGGGACACTCCTCTGTCAATGAAGTCATTGTAGGGCTGGAGGGAGCGGTAGGTCAGCATCTTAAACTCCCTCTGAGCCAGAACTAACAGGCCATCGCCACCTGTGGACACAACCTACACAAAACATGATCACCAATGATGACCATAATGATAATCATCAAAAGACTGTTTAACACAGCTTATGAGTGTATTTTCACTTCTTTTACGTTACACATGGTATCCAAGATTAATAATGTGAATGTAATGTGGATTAGGTCCTGGTGACTATAATAGTCCCTTGACAGGTAGACCAAGGCCACATGTAATAAGATTTAACTTAAATGTCCCATACCCGTTTAAAGATGCCATCAGCAGAGATAAGCTGACTGCGCCCTCTAGTGTTAATCTCAAGAGTGTAGCGCAGATGAGGGGCCAGGAGCTAAAACGGGAAGATATATAACGTGTGTTAGCTACAGAATGAAAAAAAACCATCAAGGTTCATATCAATCAATCATATTAAATTTGTATAGCCCATATTCACAAATCACAATTAGTCTCATAGGGCTTAACAAGGTGCAACATCCTCTGCCCTTGACCCTCAGCAGGAGTAAGGAAAAACTACCAAAATTATGTAAATGTAAATCTCCTGCAGATCTTCTTCAAAATTTTACCCTCAACACCACCCACATTTTTATGCTCAAGACCAAACTGCATTTTAACTGCAGTTTCTTTTTATCATTTTACCATTTGTATATCAGTATAGTGATGTTGCACCTCAACCCAAAGAAAGTGAACTGCTATTTTTATTTCAATTTGAATGTATTGTCCTTTCATCTGTTTGTCTGATTTTATGTAGTACTGGTGAGCCAAAGGCAATTTTCCAACCTAGGTGAACAATAATCATTCGTGTTTCAAATTAAAAGCCTGTCAGTGAGTTATTATGTCTG